CTGCTAATGTTTTTTGAAATAACATTCACGTTGATTCGTAAAGCAGAACCTACAGAAATAAAAGGTTATATAATTGGTGCAGATGGGGAGGCAAAGGTGGCCAAGGAAAGGATCGAGGCGGTGGAGCCGGAGAAGAACTTGATCACCTTCAAGGTTCTAGAAGGTGATCTAATGAAAGAGTACAAGAGCTTTGTGATCACAATCCAGGTGACCCCTAAGCATGGAGGGTCTGGTAGTATTGCGCACTGGCACCTTGAGTACGAGAAAATTAGCAATGAGGTTGCTCACCCTGAAACTCTCCTCCAGTTCTGTGTCGAAATTTCCAAAGAGATCGATGAACATCTCTTAACCGAAGAGTAGAGTGATTACTCCTCGCGTGTGTGTGAAGTGTGTGCAATAAATAATGAGCCGTGTCCGAGGTTGGGTAAGAGATATATGTTGGTGTGTCTCATGCATCTATGCATAGTACTGTGGTTGTGTTACGTTTGAAGTTATTAATTTGAAGCGAGATATAATAGTATAGCTAGCTACTTTAAGTACATGTATACATGCTACTGTCCTTTACGTTTCTTAATAATAAAAACATATAATATTTATGTTTATGTTTGCTAAAAAAACAAAAACATATAATATTTATCTTTTGATTAAGAATATCTCGAACCCAACACCAAATCCTACACCAAATCTGTTTTTTATTTATAAAAAAGTCTTTTAAATTTTAATCAATTTTAAAATTAATGAAAAACATATACAAATTGTGATTGTTAAACCCAAAATCTAATATATTTGATAATAATTAAACAAAAAGTTAATATAACTTATTATTTATATGTTACAATATATTTCTTTTATATAATAAATCTTAAATTTAATTTATTTTATAATTTTTTAAACTTAAAAAAATATGTGGGGTTGATTTGTAAATTTTAAAAAATTGAAAAGAGAATTTATTAAAAATATTTTATTTTGATGTAAAAATTGGTGTAAACCATTGGAGCAAAACCCAAACCCTATTTTGGTGTTAAATAGGGTGTAAAAAAATAAAAAATAGTGTAAATCATTGAAGATACTCTAATAATCTCCGCTTACCCACATGCATGGGTTAACAACCTAAAATTAAACTCGCTAAAGCCCTGGGTTCGATTTCTCTGTTAAACTATGGAACCCATGGCTGATCATATAGTATAACAAGACGAAGCTCAGTGGTTCAATATTTTTAATGTAGACGAAACCCATTCCCAAGTCGATTTTTAATGTATATCTCATATAGTATAACAAGACGAATTACCTCAGTGGTTCTGGCCCAACAACAAAGATTGACCAAGCCTAGCTAAAGCCGAATGATGTTAATTCATGGTTTGTGTGGGGCTTAGTTACTAAACGATTCCCAGCTGGTTCCCCTCAAGGCTTGGTCTCACTCATCTAACTATCAAACATGATCCATATGGCTTTAACGAGCAACATAACAAAATTTTAGGTCATCACACGTAGATTAACACTTCCAAAACAAATTTGTACCTTTATCACCAATAGAATTTATTTTTTGATTTTTAAATGAGTCTACGAAATTGATAAAATATCCTGAAAATTCACCTTAATCCTACATTCCTACCAAATCTAAAATCTACCAAATTAATTAAATACCTACTCCCAATCCATGCCCCTTAATTAGTGTTTCCCCACACTTGTTTTTTTATTATTTATTTTAGGGAAAATTGTGTAAATTGGTCAAATTTGATTTTGATTTTGTCTTACTACCATTTTCTCTATTTTTACCTAATTTGCCCTGTTGACATTTCTAATAAATCATTAAAATAGTTTTAACAGCAAAAAAATTAGAAAAATTCAAAACAATAAAAGAGTCATTGAGAAGAATATAAGTATATTTTTTTTATTTTAAAAATATGGTTAGAATTGAAAATAATTTTTTATTTTACCTTTTCTAGAAATCAAATTCTACCGTCTACGGGGTAGTAGAATATATATTCTACAAATTGGTCTGAGTCTACTGTATTTAGAATATAGGTTCTACGGATTATTGATATATCTACGCACCCGTAGAATATAGGTTCTACTCATTACTCTATATTCTACGATTTAATTGATTTGGTAGAATACACGTTCTAATGTTTGTTCTATATTCTACCAATTTTCGGAATATATATTCTACCGTAACTACTATAATCCACCATTCGTAGAATTCATCTTCCAGTTTTTTTCTTTTGTCTATGGGTGGTAGAATATATATTCTGCGAAAATATCCTAAAATCTAGGAAATATGGTTAGTAAATATTCACCATATCTTTCCAAATATTTTCTAAAAAAATAAAAAAAATGTCTGTAACCG